TTTCCACCTGAAACATCTCCTTCTACATCATTGGTAATGGCACTGTAGATGTCAGCAGAGCTCACTGCAATGGTTTGGCGTTGACCGTTGACAACTGGGCAAACCATGATCGCTTGATTAGTTAGTCTACTCGGTGTAGACTTATTGCAAGTCGCGAAATAATGTAGAGGCAGTTTTGTTGACAACAAAGGTGTACAGAGGTACGAGCTAACCTCACAGTTACACCAAACATCAGTACATGCCAAGACATCATTAAATTGTTTGCAACTGTGTAAAAACTCTCCCACATCAGAACCAGTAAAAGCACCTGTGGCTACCATGGTTTCATAGTGCACGCCAGCGGATTTTTTCTTTACCACGGTCTGTGCGTTTCTTGCACTCGCGATCACACTAAAACAGTCAATTGCATTTCTACGTAATAACATCATAAAGAACCTGGTAAATACTCTTTACTCTTAAATAAGTAAAAACACAAAAATTACCCTCCAAGCCCCTTTTTAGCCACACTTGCTGGGTTTGTTGTATCTGTCTTTGTAGGCCTTTTGCTTTTAATGTAGTTAAAACAAGTCTCGCATCTCAACACTGACAAAGCCCCTTGATCAACATCACCACAAAAGAATCTAATGTGCTTGCACAGCAGAACAAGGTCTAGGATGTTTTTTACTTCTGGCCATTTTAGTAACATGTCAGCAACTTCTCTGCTATCAATCGAGGACACAACCACAGATGGACGTGCAGGAAGTGCTCTTTAAAAAACCTTTATCTTGCAAAGGTATGGAGGATGATATGCATGCCTGCTCTCCTGTCACTAGTGTTGATTGTAGCTTAGGCAGGCCTGAATTAGTACTGGACATGAATACCTCAGGCTCATTAGTGGTGGTGCTTGTGGGCATAATTTGTTTTCTTCTTGGCTCTGCCTCTATGTTCATCCAGGCATCCTTTACAAATTTTTTTTGTTGAGAAGTATGTCAACATCCTTTGTAGATCGTCCAGGGTGGGGTTGTGCAATGTGTCTTACTACTTACTTACTACATTCGGACATGGGGTATTGGTATGTGCACATTTTAGAAAATAATAGTCATAGATGGTAGCTACTAAACATGAAACATTGCAATATAGACTACCTTGGTAATTCAGAAACACACCTGGTCCAGTTTTACGCTTTATATGCCTCCAGTCCGACCAGTCGTTGTCACTAAAGTAACAAAAATTTATGGGTGTCAAATAACTTCACAACTATGAAAAATGTTATACAGCTAAGATTTAATGGCTACGGCTCTGGTGCCATAATTATTTTACTACACCAACTTTACCTGTCTCCTTAGAAGTTGCACTGTTTAAACATAAGTTACAAGTTACTGGAGCACCATGACCCTCTTCCACTCCTTCTGGTTGCTTTCCGCATATTGCATGCACAACGTTGTTGCACTCCAGGCATTTGTGAGCATTTGACGAAGGCTCATCACAAACATAACATTTAAACTCTGCAATAAAACAGATTACTACTCACTATAACTGATTCTTGCCTTTATTTGTGGTGCTCAGAGACTCAGAGTAGGTGCAACTGCTTGCAATGTATTAGTAATAGTTTAAATAGTCCTCAGTTTTCTTCGTTCATTAATCATTGTTCATTTACTCATTCTTTATACTTTTAAAACAGCCTTAAGGCTTAAACAGGCCGCAATTTAATACTGTGTTGCCGCATTGCCGGCATCGGGTCATATCATATGCATATCATGTGGTATTAATTGTCTTGACATAAATGGATAGCTAAGGGTTAAGGGGGATGACTAATTGCAATAAGTTGATCAAAAAGTTACAGTAAACCCTTATTATAAACACACATTCGCTTTCTGTAATTTAGAATATATGCTTGCTGGAACATTGAAAAAAGTTGGTCATTAAAGTCAGGGACGGATCTAGGATTTTTCGCACGTTAGTCAAAGTTATTGGAAGTGAAAATGGGGAGGTGGGTTAATTGCCTTCCCCTGGGATAATGAAATTTCAAAAATTACTAGAAATACATGCATGCAGCAACCCCTCGCCATTTTAAATGAAGCAAAATATTTTGTGCACTACCCAGACCTAACTTTCTACTAGCATTATGAAATAACTCGTGCAATTTTTTTAGAAACGAAGACAGTCGTAAAGGTGAAGAGAAATCACCTGTTTGCCTGCTGCATTATGTTGCAGTTTAAGTGAATGTTAAACTTTTCTATAGCTAAACCTTCAAAACATCAAAACAGTGTCAAAACAGTCCTTGTGAAACGACATACCAAGCTTGTGCTTGTCAAAATAACAATGCATTCTTACAGCAAACACTGAATAAGCAAAATATAGACACCTACCACTTCAAAGATTATAAACTACGAGTCGTTCCTGTGCTGTGATGATCTTTAAATCCTATTGTTTTTTATTTAACTCCATGATTTCATTTTATATTTTTAAAAAATACTTTGCAAAATGACAGTTAAAATCTCACGCTCTCATTCATGCTCTCTTTTTGTCTTAGCCAATCAGCAAGTTGTAGACAACCGTTCTTTCTTCGTTCAAATTTCGTGGATGCGCACAACTACCATGACCATTGAACGTCCATGACATTTGGGCAACTTTGGATTCGCCTATGATCTGTCACAACACCCGGGTGTAATTCCTAATCTCCGGGCGGGATTAGTACCCTCGCATGGCGCTTAATTCGTGACGGCTCGGGGATTAACCTATCATCTACACCCGAAATTTAAACAAAAATTGTGTGTGAAAAGAATGCATTAAAAATGTTTAAAAGTTTACTGAGCTTTCAGTTTTAATAGCAGAAACAAGTGTGTCAAAATAACGGGAATTAATAGGAAATTATATCCATGGAATAAAAACATGTAAGCCTGAATAATATTCATAACTGTTACAGCATAAGCTTGTATTGCTCCAGGCTATGCCAGATATGCCAAATATTATGTGCTTAATGCCGCTTACACTTTACAGTATCACAGTAGGGCAATATTATATATTAATGCGCTATAATTGCCATATTGGTTTGGTGGGTAATCATGATTAAGTTGTACTGTTTGACATAAACATGGATTACATGATTTTACAAATATATAAATCTTCTTTACACACCTAGATCTAGTATTATGCATAGCCTGTTTGTTAGATGTAAATTCATACAGTAAATTTTGCTTGATACCTGATACAAATAAACAATACAATAATCGACCTTATGACCGAACGATGATGGGTGAATGCAAATATATACTAATACAGAACCACGCTCAAATAAACATAGCAAATTATGGGACTATAGTTTAGACGTAAATCCATACAATAAATCTTGGGTGATACTTGATACAAATAAACAATACAATAATCAACCTTATGACCACCAAGCAACCACAGGCAAATGCAAATATATGTTAATACAGCCACCATGCTCAAATATACAGTTAACATTGCAAAATATGGGACTGTAGTTTAGATGTAAATTCATACAATAAATCTTAGGTTATACTGGATACAAATAAACAATACAATAATCGACCTTATGACCAAACGACCACATGCAAATATATGCTAATACAATATACAGTTAACATGGCAAATTATGGGACTATAGTTTATACAAACTTATAGGAGTATTTTTTTTATGAACATTGACATGAATCTTTACCTTATTGCAGTAGATTTCTCATTTTGACGAGCACACAAAGTAAAAGAATTATCCATATTACTCCATCGCTAGAAATCGCGGACATTTAAATCCCGATACATCCCTTAAGTCTATACTGGTTATTATCCCTTTCGATCCCCAGGCCTCCTTATTCTCATTTCAAAATGGCGTCCGCCGCACGAAGAGCTAATCCAGTTGATTATGTAAATTTGAACAATTTATCGTCGGAAGTTATGTATGAAAGCGGAAAGAAGCCAAAAGGAAAGTTTTTTCCAGTTGATAGACTTATTTCTCGAAAGCAAATTGATCATGTAAGTTTATTTATGCTAAATTTTATCCATTTCTAATTTGCATTTCATAATGTAGGTCTTCTACTGTTGTATAAATTCATTAAAATGTATGTTGACGGGCTAAAGATAGGCATACTTTTAAATCTATTTTAAAGACTTGGCATTATTTGGTAAAGTGGTCTGGATGGCCTTTGCCTGCATCAAGTTGGGAGCCCTACGATCATTTGAATCCAGCGCTTTTACGGTACGTACTGGTTTATTTAAATACGATACTGCCAAAAATGCATTTAGTTCTTCTCAGAAAGTACTTATACATAACATGCATCTACTCCAGAATTGCAATGCAAGTGGCAAAGAAAATTGCATCGTGTAACATAGCCTTAAAAAAAAGTTCTTTAAGCAACTATTTCTTATGTTGCTTACAAGGTGCACCTAATGTATTTTGATTTTATAAATCACAGAAAACTTTTAAAACACAAACAGCAATTATTTCAACATGGATGATCCAATGCTGTTTGCATGTAAAATTGTCAGCACAGACACAACTTTAATGTTTTTCGATAACAAGTTCTCTAATTTTGATGTTGTTTACCATTCAATAATACATGATTACACTGTACTAGTGCATTAATTCATGTAGCAAAATGCTTGCGTTCAGTAATGTATGTTGTCTTTTTCTCTTCATGCATTTTTAGGAGCTATGAAAATCCATCAAAGCCAGATCAAGGCAGAATTGAGCAAGCTAGTAGAAGTTTTTATGATGCCATAGCAAGGGCTCTTAAAGCGAAATCTGCTACTCCTGTAGATGCTCAGATTGACCTTGATTTACAAAGATGGCTTTGGAAAGGAAAGGGAGTTCAATCTGAACATCTTGGTTATAAATTGTATGAGAAACATGAGTTTTGCAATTTGAATCTACAGGAAACATGGTGGTATTACCTTGATAGCAATGGCGAGGGCAGAGCAATAAACTTTCCAATTAAAATAAAACCTCTATTATTGTGGTCACCAAAACGTTACATTGTTCAAAATGGAGAACTGATTCAAGCAAAGAGAATGCCCATTGAGAAAGCTAAAATTCATTTCTCAAGACGAGCATGTAGTGCCGAGACACTTTAAAATATAGTTGTACACTTGTACTTGTACTTAGGTGCATGCAGCACCCAAAATGGTGCTTTTTAAAAGTTCCTTCAATTTGTCAAGCTTTCGTAGTTTTGTTTTTATTTTCATTTCTTTTAGTTTTTCTTTCACTTCACATAAACTCATGCTGTCTACATCCTGTGGGGTTAATTGATCTTGATCGTTCTCGTCTTCTCTTGGATCTACACAAAGACGCGGTTTTTTCTTCTCTGCTCAAATATTTCATTTGACCAATAGGTATTGTCTTGTTTCTTGTATTGGTGTGGGATTCGTTCAAAATTCTGAAGATTATCAATTCTTCGAAGCGCCAGTATTGCCTCTTTGCAAGCATCATGCCGGTTGCTTTTGTTATGATAAATTGCCCGAACCACATCATTAATCTTTTCAATTCCTTGCCCAGTAAATGATTTCAAAGATTTTTCATCTTTGATGAATCTGGGTACATGATAAAGCAATATGTGTATATATGGTGTTATTCTAGCCTTTTCATAGCCCATCACTTTTCCACCAAGAGACAGGAATAGCTCTACCCAGTTCTTGGCCTATGAAAAATCAATGAAAAAAAACACCTTCACCATTTACATGCACATATAAAATGTCTCAGTACAGTCACACACAACAGTTATTTTAGTACAATTAATATATTGTAAATGTAAGGTACCATAGTACCTGTACTATGCACAGGGTAAACCCTACTCATGTGAGTAACACAAGACAATGTATTACTTGCCTTCCCAAAAAATCCATCTATATCTGCCTCAGAAGGCTTCCATGATGATAGTATTCCATATAGTTCACGAAATTCCTAGGAAATGAATAAATACAGTACATACATGTATATCAAGAAATAAGTTGTTGAGAAATATGTAATTTATGTACACACCTGCCATATTTCTGTAATTGTATCACAATGGTTTGGTTCGAGAATGTTTGGGAACTGTGCAGGCAGCTTTGCAAGAACTTTTTTCTTCTCATTGCCAACCATGCTTGTCCAGTCATGCATTCCACTGTCAGTCCCATCGGCGTTCTTCTTTTTCCATACACTAAAGCTTACACCACAGTTATTGATGGCTTCAACAACATTTTGTAGGTGTTTATTTTCCCTGTCTGATGGTGCTCTATTAAGGTTCTCTTCAACATCACGCTCAATTGCATCGTTTATTATGTTACGTTCTAAAATATCTGAAAAAGGAAAAGGAGTCATTACTGCCATGAAGAGTCAGCCCAAGGACATTCTCAATGTATTGTTGCCAGTTACAGTAACATGTGCAGTATGTTGTAGAATTCATTATCTGTCTGTGAGTTAGGAACAAAGAAGTCTACATTATGTTATGAGCCTGCGTTCCTTTTGGGCTGTTCCAGGAACGTCACCAGTTAATATCCACATACCAATTTACAATTGAATAGTGCCGTACCAGTTATCCTGAGAAGCAAATGAAGTTCGTCGATTCTGACATTCTGAATTGGGATACTGAGCAATGGCTTTCTGATGCAACCATAGTTCGATGAGGACTTGCAGGCCATGGTTCTGTTGCTACTAAGTGTTCTTGTATTCTTACTATTATGGTAGTAATCCTCTACTTTTGATGTATCCCACCTGCATCAGCAAAGATGCTTTCAACCCATTAGTAAATAATAAATAACAAAGTAGATTGCATCAGAGTGCATTGAATCTATGTTTCAATGCATATACAGATAAAGATTTATAAAATTTGCAAATACTGGTACGGTATGGTAATTTAAAATTAAGATACATGTATTGAACTAAATTTTGCTTGTACCTTTCATTTTTGTGGACCAAGCAGTAAATGCATGCATAATCAGATATTGCGTTGTTCATTCCAAGAACCAGAAGAAGAAACTTGGAGATATAGAAGAATGCATTATTTTTGTATGATATGTAGTTCATCCTAGAAAGGGTACAACTGCCAGTTCATGTACCGTAATAGACCTTATGCAGAATGACGTCACAAGGCGTTATGCCTGCTGAAAATTCTAGACTTAGTGTCATTCATAGTTTTGAATGTTTGATGTTTCCTGCTGTGTTGACTACTAAAACCAGAATTCCGTGCAGGCATCACAGCTTGTGACATCATTATGCACAAGGTCTATTATTGATTTTGAAGTTAGGGTGAAAGCATGTTACTGAACCTTATAATCACCAGACAGATAAAATTCCAGAGGTATTTGATGGCCATCCACCTCAATTTCACCATGCTCAACCAGATCATTGATTTCAGCAAAGATTTCTCTGCAAGAAACTTTTAGTACGTCGTAATCCTCACTTCCGGAAACTATTCCCACAGTATGGTTGCCTGTATGATGTGTACAATCAGGAATTACTGTACTGTAGGTTTTGAGACAAGAAAGAACTAATTCAAGATCTAAGGCCAATTATTCCAGTATATCTGTGTCTCAGATATTATTAACTGGACTGTTTTTATGCTTTTCAAAAACTTGATAGTTTTTATGGATGGCATGGTCTTATCAAGAGCATTCTCTTACCTTTCCAAGACATTACTTTTTCTTCATCAGAAAGGAGAGCAAATGACAGCACAATAAATTAGCTATGCGGGACATTTTTGCACCATCACCTGCAATCCTGATCTTTTGCTTTCCAACATCTCCAAGCTGTATCTACAAAGTTGATAAAAATAGTACATATATTTATCATTACAATCTATAAAATAACTAAATTTAGGCCTCACCAAAGCAAGTGCACATGTTTTCTGGCAAGAAATGGTGGTAGGAAATATTACCTTCTTTCTAATTTGTTCCCTTAGTTCTTCTTTAAAACTCATCTGAGCCCCTGGGTGTTTTCCTGGTGTGCGAGTGATATGACTGATTGAATTTAGTGTGTTTCTACACTGCTTAATTAAATAGCTCCTTGGGAGACCATCAACCAGCATTGACATTTCATGATAAGCTGTATCGCCCACACAACACTTATCCATAATATATAGTAGAGCTCTAATAGTTGTTTTATCATTCTCTGGTAACTGTTGAAAATTAGTCTTACTACTGCAACCATTCTCACAATAGTTCATTTCTGTTACTTTGCCATCCAGATCTTCAATCTTGATAGAGTCCAATTTAAACCCAAACGATTCCATGAACCAAAGTGCTTGCTCACTTCTCGACTTCAGCTCCTTTACTTTTCTTCTCTTTTGTCGTTCCCCAACTTTGCCAACTGGTTTCCCTGTGTTCTCCAGATTTGAACTACAGCTACTACACACAGTTGTTTCTTCAATAAAGTCCAGGTATTCTTTTAGCTCTTGGTTCTCCAGTAAGGCATGATCTCTCTCCATTTCAACAGTTTTTGTCTTGTCTTTCTCCTTTGAAAGATCTTGCAAAAGTTCATCACATCTGCTGTCGACATCCTGGAGTTGTTGTCGAAGATTGTTGTTTTCTTCTTCCAACTTTTCAAAGTCTTTCTGAAGACTGCTGACATTCAGTAACTCATCAAAAAAAACATGAAATGATTTTGTCTTCTCAAGAAAGTTTTTCCTGGTCAGGCCTCTTAGTCCTCTACTTTTGGTGTATGCTTGACATGCCATAACCCTTATACTTTCGTCAATTCTGTTCACACCAGGTTTGATTTTAATCGGTAATTTGGACGCACTCAGAGCCAGTAACTCTTGGTAGGAGATGTCTGGAAATTTGATTTTTAATTCCCGCCATTTTAACAAAACTTTTATCGAAATTTTTAGAACAACACATTTCCCTGACCTTTGATATCCAACGTAGCGTAAGCAAGAATAATCCTCACTAAGCTGTATTTCATATTTAAGTTTTAGTTGCTCCTGCCAAGTAAGGTTGTCTGACATTGTCTTTTTATATATAGTACAGCAAAATACAGTAGAACAAGTAAATAAATAGCAATACTCGCAATAATCGCATATTCTACTTTTTGACAAATGTGTTCGGCTCAGTGCACGGAGCAATATCAGTGGTATATAAACAAAGTTTCCTAAACGGGGAGTTACCGCTGACTAAAAGGATTGCCAGATGTAAACAAAGTACAAGAAAAGAGCTATCAAATGATATATTTTGAGCAATTTTTTGTGTGAAAAGTCATTGTCAAAGTGCAAGATTAGTATATGATGATTGTATCAAATAAATGTACCTTCGATTTTATGCAAACTACTTGGAATTAAACAAATAATCATTGCCGCCACAGATTAAGGTATGCGAACAATTGTTTTGGCTACTAATATGTGTATATTTTTTATATTTCACCCCACATTTTTAACTTCATCGATCATTAGACCGTGGCATAACTTTGTAAAAGGTGGATTTTTGCCATTTCGGAAAATTAGTTACAAATCCTGCCTGTACAGTTATTCCGTTGTTGCCCAGTTTTACGTATAGTAAATAATCATGACATTTTATGATTGGTTTTAATTATTTTTCTTATTTGCTTGATTAGTTCACGGAATTTTGTTTCAGCAGTGCACAATTTTAATTTGTTATGATTCTTTACCGATATTTGATGTAAAATTTGTATAACCATCTACATTCCTTATTAAATTTGAATGCATGAGTGGACAGGGGGACTGGGCCGAAAATGCACTCTGTATTCAAAATGTCCGCGATTTCTAGCGATGGACAAGACAACAACTGAAAGCTACTCGACATATTCGCTATTTGTGGCGTCAATTTCCTAACAAAGATCTGCATTGGGCTCTTTGGGAACCTCAAATCATTGCAATAAAATGCCATTTTGTAAAATAAAAATACGAATTTGTATAAATGGCGGGATCAAGCAGTAGAATCCAACAGATTTTCCAACAGATCAAACATGCAACAGATCAAACATCCAGAAATTTTTCAATATTTCTTATTTACTTGAGAAGGATATATTTAAGTAAAATAAAGCAGCAAACCAATAAGAAATCAATATTTTTCTTTCACCAGCCAATCCGAAAGCTTAAATTTCGCGAATGAGTCAGACTCCCGCAAAGATAAGCAAAGCGAATGAAGAACCAGTATTAGCCCTCCACCAGCCAATCAGAAACGCTTAAATTGTGCAAATGAGTCAGGCGCCCGCAAAGATGAGTCATACTTCTTCTAAGCCAATCAAATGCCTAGAATCAGAAGTCAATGAGGCAAAATGATTAAAAAGGGGTATTCGCTAATATGACTCATTTGCAGAGAGCTCAAAAGTCAGTGACCAGCAACTGCATGAAGCTTAACTTTTAACTGGACTGTTAATTAATTGCATGACTAATTTCGCTGACTGAAGTTTAAATATTTCGACCTGGACTTGTGTAATTTTTGACTTAGTGGCATGACTCATCTGACAACCCCTAGATCTGCCCCTGATCAGTCTTCCTTTTTTGTGGGATGATGCAAAGAATTTTTCTGTTCTGGACAATTTGTTGTTGCGAATTATAATAAGGTAAGCAATGTCTGGATTATTCTAATTTGCATAAGCCAGGTATATGATTATGACTCATAAACTAGCTAAAAATGAAATAGATTGAGATACTGAAATTGAAAGCTTATGTCCTCAAGACTTCAAAATGTATCTTGGTAACTCCAATTTCCCGTTAACGCTGTGATTCACTCGATCATCAGTTGTCTGACACTTTACAAAAAAAATTATATTTATTAATAATACTTTAAAAGATATAATTATCCATATCTTTATAATCAAGAACAGCTATGACTCCCGGCCTTCATTGAGCCTAAAAGAGGAAGACAGTGGTTTCATTGGTGAAACTAAAATAGACATCAATGTGCGGGCACAGTGCAGTTACGTTCTTTTTTACATGAGGATTAAGGAGTATAAAACAAATATCTGTCTGTTACCTGTCAATTTATTATAGTTTAGGTAATAATAATTTCACAATTTTGGTCACTAATAATGCTGAAAGTGGTCTACATACAATGTAAACTGTCTTACACATACACTTTCCCTCATATATAGTGTTGAGTTTCAATAGAAAATACCTAATGAATACAATGAATGCTAATGCTTTGGTTAGCTTTACTGTTGTTGACTTCATTTGACTTTATCATTGACTTAAGGGTTGATTCTACAACTGTGAAATGCGAAAATCTTGACGCGGTAACAGAATTATGCGAAAATTTTCTGTCCTCAGTGATTTCCATGGTCAAAACAAAGGTGTTAAGTTTGAAAAAAATAAAAACAATATGGTTGCGAAAGAAAAAATATCGATGCTCTTGCTTATTCTTTATTGTAGACAAAAACGTTGCCAAAGTAAAAAAAAGTCAAGTAAGTAATCAAGTCAAGAAATCATAGTAAGAAAACTGTTGTAATCATAATCATAAATTTAATCATAAAGACCATATACAAAATGGTCGGCGTTAGATCATATCGAACTAACGTACATGACGTCATAAAATTTTCAATAACCCTAACCATAATTAAGGTAAAGCCAGAGATACTATTACATAAGTATATGATCACTCCTATACTGGGTATGAGGGTAACAGACATTTACACTTTCGTGTACATTTATAAATGTATATATATAAATGTATCATCATTCATCGCCATTTTTATTTTATCATTTTTATGAACCAGCTCTAGAAAGACTTCATGTAAGACTTCTGTTATTATACTTCCGTTATTGCAAAATTTATGACTTCATGTATGTTAGTTCGATATGATCTAACGCCGACCATACAAAATGGCTTTATTCTACTTAAAACTACTGTACGATTATGCTGCAGTTCAAAATGGCAGACACGAAAATGACCAAAAGTCCCACAGGCTCAAGTGCCACAATACGCCATAATTATTATAACATAAAGTTCATATCATTCTGCCTCCCTAAGAGTTAGAACCTACTACAAAATATACTAACATAATACTATAATATAATAATAACTAAGATAATATAACTACTATAATACAATGCGAAAATCATGCTAATTAATAAAAGTTTCAAAGATTGTTCTATCGTCCATAGCGAGATGGTGATTTAGTTTGACGAGTCTAATGTCTAAGACCAAGCGCCTCGGCCACAGGAGGATGTTGATCATTGGAAGTTGGTGTTAATGATGTTTCACACATTGTTGCAGGCAATGCATCTCTTCTTTCACTACTAGGTGCATTTCTTTCCTCATTATGTGGTGCAGTTCTCTGGTTGTTTAGCGAAGGTGGGAGTAAGAGGACAAGGAGCCAAATCTGAAAATGAGATGGAAGATTCCCTTTCATTAGGGTACTCAATATGTGCATAGGTTGGATTTGCATCTAGTTAGTTCTAACAAAACGCCTGAGAAGAACTGGTCCGGGTTGCTGCAACCAAGATGGTAGTGACGATCCAAGAGACGAACGCCGTTAGAAGTTGAATAATCCACACACAGTCTCTTTTTATGTCGGTTAGAGGGATCCTTGGTTAGAGGGATCCTTAGAAACAACAACTTGCGCCCTCCATGATGACATTGCTTGGCTCGATAATTCCTTGTGCAAGAAGTTTTGAAATCTCTTGGTCAATAAACTTTTGATCTTCTTTGCTAAAGCATCTAGATTTCGTTGCTATAGGCTTAGCATCAGGTAAGAGATTACCAAATAATAGTGGCTCT